CCCGCCCAGGCCTTCCGGCCCTGCTGTCAGCCTTTCTGTCCGTCTCAAAGTCACAAGCCTGACCGTCTGGCTGACAGATCCATCTCCTGTCTTGACATCTCAGTCTGATCTGTGTCTGTCCATCCATCGGTCACTCAATCATCACATATCAATCCACTGGAGAGTCAGATTTGTCCACCTGTCTGTCTACCTATCTACCAGTAGGTCATCTCCCAGGAGGACCATAAATCAGTACCAGGTAAAGCAAGGAACCTTTGGAGGACCTTTCTTGGGGTTGCCCTCTGGACCGATGGCAGTGCAGCTTGCAATCCAGCTTTGGGGCCAGATCCAATACTTTCTTCTTTTATTTTTTACATTTATTTATTTTTGAGAGACAGAGAACAAGTGGGGGAGGGGCAGAAAGAGAATGAGACACAGAATCCAAAGCAGTCTCCAGGTTCTGAGCTATCAGCCCAGAGCCCAGAGCCCCACGTGGGTCCCAAACTCACAAACCTGAGATCATGACCTGAGCCAAAGTTGGTTGCCTAACCGACTGAGCCACCCAGGAGCCCCTGGATTCAATACTTTCAAAGTTATATATCCTTTAATCTTCCACATGTCTACCCTCCCTAGAGGGAGACCTTTCCAAAACTCTGCAAGGAGCAGAGGGGACCCCACCTTAGATATTAAGGGGAAGACTTCAAGGAGATTATACCCAGTGCCAGGCACAGTTTCCTGAAACACCCACTCACTCAGAGATCAGGTAATAATAACAGCTGCGGTTCATGGAGTGCCAGATACTATACAGCTATTATCTAAGTTAATTCTCATAGAGGCAGTTATTACTATCAGCCCTTCCCCATTCTTTGCAAAGGGCAATGGTAGTTTGTTGATTCTATATAAAAATACCCTGAAAGCAACACTTCAAGTTCCCCTGCCCACAAGAATCCAGCCCCCAAGCCCCTCTGGGTCAAGTCAGATCCTCCAGGAAGCAGATGTTGAAATAGAGTTGGTGGCCGGTGGGGGGGGGGGGGGGTGTTGGCGGCAACAACCATGAAGGAGAAAGAGGAAGAAGCAGAATTGGACAAGGGCTCATCTGACAAAGATAGACAACCTATCAGGGAGCACCAGAACAAAAACTCATTAGAGGATCTCCATTGGGCAGAAGTATTCAAGCCCCAGGACCCCCAGCATGTTCAGCCATTGGCTGGGGATGCCCTGGAAGAGTGTAGCCTCTTCTCGATCTGAGTGACAAGTTCTTTCTTAAAGGCAGAACCAAGCAGCTCACTTTTGGCTACCAGGTCCTCCTATGTTAAAATTCAAGAGCCAAGCCTGCCCTTCCAACACCTGTAATGTACCTGTTTTGTAAGCACTACTCACTACTGCAGTTTACATTTAGTGGTGGGATTCTTGGATCAATGTCTCGCACGTGAGGACAGGAACCATGTCCATTTCAGCTCACCACATAGCTTTTAGTATGTGCATGGCTTATAGGAGGTGCTGCTCAATGTATATTTTCTGAACGACTAGTGGGCACTATACCTGACACTTGGAACAAAGCAAACCACATAGTCCCTTTCCTCAGAAAGTTCACAGTTTAACTGAAGAAACAGAAAATAAGTAGTGAGGTCATTCATTAACCACTCAAAGGTGAGACATTTAACGGTGCCTGCACTGTACCAGGAGCTGTGCTCAGGGTGGGGATACAGCAATGAATAAATCTGATATGGTGCCTGCCTTCTTCAGGTTTATAGTCCAAAAGGGCAGGCAGAAAAGCAAACAGGCCTGTATGAAGGATGGCTAGTCTCACATCATTCCCCACTGCCTAGAACAGCATATGCAAATGTCTGTGGGCAAGACAGTGGCCAAGGTGCATTGAACTAGAAGGAATTCGCAGCATGAAATATGAGGCAGGGAGTGATAATGGGGAGATAGACGGGTCACCAGGGACATATTTTTTTATGTTGCTTACAGGTTGATACAGTTACATTTAGGATATAGTGGGTTAAATAAAACATTGATTTACTTGTTTCTTTTTATCTTTTTTAATAGGGCTACTAGAAAACCGTAAATTACATATATGGTTTGCATTTTGTTTCCACTGGATATGTCTGAGTTAGAGAATGCTTAGTGGGCCATTATAAGTATGCTTCCTAAAGATTAACATGCATTGACAGACAGTGCTGAATTCAGGGTCCCCAGGGTGAGGAAACAGCCCCGGAGAAAGCAGATCCTCCAGGGTCATTCCATCGCCAAATGAGCAGAGGCCCATCTAGTCTGTGGATTATCTCTGTGCTGCTCCTTCTGCCCCGATGGCTATGGATGTCCCAGCACAGTGGTGCTTGTATTCAGTAGCATGGGGTAAAGGTTAAGTGCGTATTGGTCAGGCAGAGGGACTCCACCTAGGTTCAAACCTCAGCTATGCCACTTGCTGGTGGTGAAAATCTCTGGCCATTTGCTCTCTGCGCCTCAGTTTTCCTCCTCTGCAGTTAGACAAATAATAGCCACCTCCCTGGGCACCTGGGTGGCTCAGTTGGTTAAGCGTCTGACTTCACCAAAGTTTGAGCCCCGCATTGGACTCCACATGGTGCAAAGCCTGTTTAGGATTCTCTCTTTCTCCATCTCTCTCTCTCTCTCTCTCTCTCTCTCCCCCCTCCCCTACGTGCACACTCTCTCTCTCTCTCTCTCTCAAAATAAGGAAACTTTTAAAATTAAAAAAAAAAGCCACCTCCCAGAATCATCGTAGGACTAAATGAAATACTACACATTTAGGACTTAGAAAGGTCCTTGTTATCAGTAAGCACTCTCTGGCTCCACTCTACCCACTAGAAACAAAATGCAAGCCACATATGTAATTTAAAACTTTCTAGTAGCCATATTAAAAAGGTAAAAGCAACAGGTAAAATGGATATTAACATATTTGATGTAATCCAATATATCCTAAATATTCTCATTTCAACTTTTAATCAGTATAAACAACATCAGAGATTTCTCACTTTTTATTTTTCATGTGAAGTCTTCGAAATCCAGTATGTATTGTGCATTTAGAGCACATCTCAGTTCGACCAGCCACATTTCAATTCAAGTGCTCAGTAGCCACATGTGGCCAGTAGGGACCCCGTGGGACAGTGCAGCTTTAAATGTGAGCTGGCATCATTATTTGGGGGGATATCAATCTAAAAGCCATTTCCTTAGAAAATCACTCCCTGACCTGCAGGGCCCCTGTTATTAAGATCTTTTTTTAGGGCCCTGGAAGCACTCTTGACAATTATAATTAAACAGTTCCTGTGCACTGGTCGTTTGCATTTTCCCATCTCGTACGTACTAGACTCTAGACGCCAGGAAGGCAGAGACCATGTCTTAATAGTACACTGATTGACACGCAGAAGAAAGAAGGGATTCAAGGGGGAAAAAAAAAATTTGGAAAGGTGAGTCACTTGGGTGGCTCAGTTGGTTAAACATCTACCTTTTGGTTTTGGCTCAGCTCATGATCTCGTTGTTCGTTAGTTCAAGCCCCACATTGGGCTCTGTGCTGCCAGCATGGAGCCTGCTTGGGATTTCTCTTTCCCTTTCTCTCTGCCTCTTCCCAGCTCTCTCTCAAAATAAATAAATAAAAATAATAAATTAAAAAAAAAAAAGATTTAGAAAAGTAAATTCCAGACCTTACAATATAGATGTGGAAGTTTTCTTTATACTAGTTGTTCACTGTAGGAAGAGATTTAGGGAAAAAAAACCAAAACAAACAGATCAACTAAAAGATAAAAATTAAATGTCCGTAATATAAAAAGAGCTTGGCATGCATCCTTAATTATTTCCTGAAGATTGTTTCCTAGGAGTGGAAGTGCTGTATCAGAGATTAAGTGCTCAGTTTGTCGGTGTTTCTGCTGAGTGTTGACAAAGTGCTGTCCGTCCCAGTTGTGTCCAGATAAATGTATAATCGATATTTCGTGAGCACCGACTGGCGCACAGTACCTTAGAGTGACCCCATGAAGAATCCCCCTTCCCCTCAGATGGGGTACAAATACCACCAGAGGAATGAGAGATGTGTAAATGGTACACAGAGATTTCTCATTTTTTAAAAACATTTTTTAATGTTTATTTTCAAGAGAGAGAGAGAGACAGACAGAGCATGAGTGGGGGAGGGGCAGAGAGCTAACCCAGCCACCCAGGTGCCCCGAGAATTCTTATTTTAATAGTTATGTATTCATGTGTATTAGAAAATTACCTAAATAGCCCATAAAACCACTATAGCTGTGAAGTGTGCAGGTCCACTTACACGTGGATGTTTTTCAATAAATACAGTATTGCAATTTAGGATGAGGCCAAGTTAAATGAAAAAGTAAGTCATTTACAGAGAAATATTTAAAGTTACAGCGCAGTGAGTTCTTAGTGACAGCAGAACTGGTGATGGAGCTTGGGACCCTTCCCGATGCACAGCCACTCCTCAAGGGCACTGCGTGGTTGAAGGAGTTGAGCTGCGACAGAGAAGCACTGCGGGGGGGCGGGGGGTGGGTAACTGAACAATGAAACATAAAGGGAGACCTCAGCTGAAATCCCAGTTTCCCTGTTACCAGTCTCCTCCATAAGGTGGCAGCG